GCGGCTGGTCTGAGGGCGACCTCCGTACGAGCGGGACGTGGCCCCCAGGCGACGCCAAAGCCTCCGTGGGCCGACGGAGGCGGAGGGGGAGGAGGAGGAGGAGGAGGAAGGAGTGGGAGGAGGAGGGGGAGGAAGGGGAGGAGGAGGATGCGGAGGAGGATGAGGAGGAGGGCGAGGAAGCGGAGGAGGACGACGGAGGAGGATGTGGAGGATGGAGGAGTGAGGAGCGTGGAGTGTTTCGAGGCGTTTTTGAAGTGTTTTCTAACCGGCGCCCCGCGGAATAAATACTTCGGGCCCGGTTTGCACGCGCACGCTCGCACACAATAATTTCACCAAATTGATGGTTTCGCGGAGCTGTGTGCCGCCGAACCTCCGGGGACCCTCCGGGGAACCTTCTGGGAACCAGTTCTGGGGAACCAGTTCTGGGGAACCTCCGGGGAGGCAGCCGTTCCTAGGGGGCAAGCAAACCTACCTCGCTTTTGACCACCCTCGCTTCCAAGAGATACCAAGCGATGCCAAACTACGGCATGTACTGGTCAGGCCGCTCGACGAGGAGGCGTATGGTATGACTTGGTTTTGCCTGGAAGCGAAAGCGGGGTAGGTAATTCACGCTCTGAGTTCCCTGTGACATTCGCAAAAAACCTCCGGGGAACCTCTGGGAGCTCACCGCCGGAGTTCCGGGGAAATTCCTGGGAAACTCCTGCGGAAAAGCGCCTGAAATCGACAAATCCTGCGGGGCCGTCGACCCTCGCACTCCCGTCGCGAAAATAAGGTGGGGAGCACCAAACACACAGGCGGGGATACACAAAGCAATTATTGAGCTACACGGAGTTCGCGCGGGCCCACAAAACAAAGAAACACTGAATATGGCACAACCGGCGACGACGCCACACTCATATAAACACGGGGCCGTGCGAACGGAGCGGGAAAAAAACATAACGGATGCGGCGGGGCCTTAAGCGGGAGCCCTGAGGCCCCTCGAAGGCCCTTGGGCCTCAAAACACCCCATGGGCCACAATTGGCCGCGCAAGAGTTGCATGGCCTGATGGCTGTCAGCGGGATGCGGAGGGAGCGGAAATATTTGCTCAGTCGCTGCTGCCGCTGCTGCTGCTGCTGCTGCTGCTGCTGGAGGCGCTGCTCGCCGCGACAGCGTCGGCGGAGGGGGGGGAGAAGGAGGAGGAGGAGAAAGAGGAGGAGGAGGAGGAGGAGGAGAAAGAGGAGAAAGAGGAGGAGAAAGAGGAGGAGAAGAAGGAGGAGGAAGGGGAGGAATGTGGTGGTGAGCAGGAGCAGGAGGAGGAGCTGGAGGAACTGGAGGATCTGGAGGAGCTGGAGGAGCTGGATGAGCTGGAGGAGCTGGAGGAGTAGGATTTTTCTGCGCTAAATCTGGCGCCGCCTCAGTTCGCGGGGCGCCCCCGCCATAAAAATGCGACCGGCGCCACCGACGCTGCGATACCGACGGCGGCTTTACCGCGGCAGCGCCGCCGCCGCGACCCCATCACCGCCGTCGCCGTTTGAGCGACGTTGCGGTTGGCGATTCCAACAGAAATGCTGCGAGCGTCCGCTCCGCAGAGGGGGGCGGGCAAGGAAGGGCGCGGCTTCCTCCGTGACCGAAGCCTCCACGCTCCGCCGCCGCCCCCCGCCTGCTCATCACCTGGCGCCGCCTTCCCCATCCCCGGCCCTCTGCGAGCCCGATGCCGGCGCCCGACGACTCCGAATCCTCCGCCAGATCCCCGCGCCGGCGGCCGTGGCCGCCCTGCGCGGCTGGAGACCGAGAGCGCGGCGGCCTCTCAAACGTGGCCCGCGGGCCCTGGCCAACTTCAGAAGTCGTCAACGATCTCCGCTCCCCGATGGGGCCGTCGCCCCAGCGGGGGCCTCGGCGCTGGCGTCGGCGATCCGGCGAACAGCGGGCGCCAGCATCGCGACCCAACTGAAGGATTTAAGGGTCCTGTCCCCGCGGGGGCAGAAAGGCCCTGCGGGGCCCGTAAAGCCTGATGAGGCTCGCATTGCTCGCCGACCTCGCAGGCCATGGGGCTCGCATTGCACAGAAAACTGCCCGTGGGGTGGGTGACGACCATGGGGCCCACGGGGCTGCAGTGGTCGCGCCCTGCGCCCTGCGCGGCCCCGCGACCCAGCGATACTGCGGGACCCGCGCCCTGCGCGGCCCCGGCGACCCAGCGGGCATACATGGCCCGCGCTGCGCGCCGGGCACGCGCGGCGCGTCGGGCACCTGTGCGGCGCCCGCGTGGCCCAAGAAACCTCTCTGCGACCTGTAGGGTTCAAGGGGTTGGCGAGTTTTGCACGGCCCGCGAATTCATGCGCGGCCCTGACAACCCGAGAGTTCATTTGAGGAACGAGAGAAGGCGCGCTTTGCCCCCGCGCGCTCAGAAATGGCGCCCGTCGACGCGGGGCGCATGCGCCCGACAACGTCGGCGACGGCAGTCAACAGAGGCTCTGCATGCTCCAAGAGGGGATCTTGGCGCTGGCCTCGGGCCCCGGCGCGCCGACCAGTGCGCGGGCAGAAGCGACCTGCGCATTGCGCCCTGCATTCTGCAACGCGCGCCCCGTGGACTGCTTGAAAAACTGCGATGTCGAAGGCGGCGCGGGCAACGCCGCCATGCTGCCCACGCTGCATTTTCCGCCTCGCCGCCCCCGGGCTGATGAGCATCCGCCACCGCGCTCGCAACCTCCCTCGCGCCATTGCTGCCGGGGCAGGATCAACAACACGGGCCCGCCTGCGCGCGCGGCGACAGAACATCCAGGCCCAAGTCGCGCAATGCACCTCGCAAGCCGCGATGGCGCGGCCCCTCTTCAGGGCGACCTCTCGATGGCTCTCCGCGCAAACCGGACAGAGCCCCACCCCCCCAGTCTGGCGGGACTTCCTGGTTGACGCGCCGATTGTTCTCTGCCTGCGACATGTGCAACTACGCCCGTCTCGACGCCATGCGAATCACGCCTTGCTCGGGGTGGCCAAGATGGGGGGCGAAGACGAGGGGCCCAAAGGGCCCATTTAGTAGGGCTCACTTGGGAGCCAGCAGGGGGGGGGGGCCCATCCAGGGTCCTTGTCTTCCCTCCCCATGTGGGCCGCCCCCTAGCACCACCCGCCCGAGGCAATCCATATCCGCCGAGCGCCCGCACTCGCGCTGGCTGCAAGCGGCCCGCCTAACTGGAAGAAGGCCTTGGGCCCTGCCTGCGGCCTGGTTGGGCCATTCCCCCGGAGATAGAACATGGCTCCGCGCTTGGGGCTGGCTGAAACTGCCCAGCCTGGAATCTGGAATTGAACTGCTTGGTTATAGTCTCCACGGTCTCGCGCATGGCTGCAAATTGGCCATCGCACGCCGCTCTGAAATTGCCAATTGTTTGACGATGTCATCCATGTTGGCTCGCAACGCCGTATGGAATGACACAAAGGTCGGCTACTCGGCTACTCACAACTGGGGAAAATTGACGAAATTGGAAAAGCAGAAACAAAAGAGATACAAATCAATGGCGTTGCTGTGCCTCCTTATTCAGAGCGTGTGGGTGCGTCCATGATCGCTTGAACCATGGCGTTGGCCTGATCAAAATCTGATTGGGCGGGGAAGATCACGAGCCCCAACTGCTTGGCGTCTCCTTCCGCGTCCGGAACCATGTCCGGCTACCACCTGCTCACAATTTTGCGGAAGCGAAACAACAATATGTCGCTGTTCCTCGCCATTCGTAACGGGGCGCCGGGCCCCTGGAATTCGCAAGGTGGAAGTGAACCGACGCGATCTCCCGCCGAATATCGTTGATTCTCTACTGCGAATGCCCGGGGTGACTGGAAAATCTGGGCTGAAGTAAAGAAACATTCTGGCATAGGTCAAGCGCTTTACGAAGTTCCTTCGAGCTCTGCGGGTCCGAAGGGGGAAGCATGCAGGCTGGATGCGCGTGAGGTCCGTCAGGCGTGCGAAGGGGGTAATGAACACCCTCTGTCTTGACCGCGCACTGGAGATTGTCTGGTTTACTATCGTTTTGAAGCGGATCGCGCTTCAACACAAAGCAGCTGCACAACAACTGGGCGCCTGGAGTTTTGTCAAAGTTTGGGGCTTCCGCCTTGAAGTGGCCTGTTCCCCCATCTCCGACGGCGCCGGTGGCTCCCACATCGGCACGCTGCGGGGTGCCTGGCGAGCGACACTTGGGACTGCCTTTGGTCGGGTTGTTGTGTTTTTATGATGAATGGCATGGGTCTGTTCCACCGGCAAGTCCCCCAGAGGTCCTGGCATCAATGCCCGTGGCAACCAGTTAAGCTGTAATTTGATCATACGTTGGCATGTGTTGCTTTTTGTCAGTCGATGCGTTGCCACCGTTGTACGCAGAAGTGGATCCACCCTTGCCTGGTGAACCCTGGGACTACAAATGCCCATGCCGAGAAGGCAGTTTGTCATTGGAAGGGACACGAAACGCGCATTTGGCGTCGAACCTTGAGTTGGCTTTGCCGCGGTGCAGATCCACACAATGTGCCTGAAGCTTGCTGGCGTGGCGCCGACTTGCCATGGTAGAAAAGGAAGTCGTCCACAGGCAAACGCGTAGCATATAGTGAAGGGGATGGGGGAGCTGCCATGCGGTTACTCTGGGAAGGAAGGAAGAAAGGTCGCACCACATGGCGGGAGAGTATGTTGAAACGAAGAGCGGGAGTGGGGAGAAGCATGGCGCCCCTTGATCGCCATCTGGGATTTAAGCAATCTCAACAAAAGTATCGTCTCTGACCTCAAGACTGTTCAACTGGAGGCCTGTAGTGTGCCCCTATGGGTGGGGGGGAGGGAGGAGGGTGGGGGAGGGCCAGGGAGGAAGGGGGAAGGAGGAGGAGGATGTTCAAGTTCGCGGAGAACGAGGGTGAGGAACAGGAGGAGGAGGAGGAGAAGGAGGAGGATCGACTTTGCCCGCGGCGGCCTGGCACTGCCCCCTGGAAGCGAGGCCGCCGCGGGCAGGAGGAGAGCGCCGCAAATGCGCACGCGCGGGCAAGCTGCGGGCGGGGTGCGATCCCACAGGGGCAACTGCACGAAGGAGCCGGACACCGGCGGCGACTTCACGCTGGCCTGCGGGCGCGGCGACGACGGCGCCTCCTCGCCCCTGGCGAGCTCCGCATGCTGCGAGCCTGGCCGTCGCTCGGACGTCCATTCCCCGTACACTTTTCGGTATCGTGCGTGTCTGTATTGCTCAATGGTCCAGGATGCTCCTCGATGGCCGTCGTCGAGAAAAACAAACACACGTCCGAGCGATGCCAAGAAGCAGGCTGCCGCAGGAGAATTCACTGATCTCCTGATGCGAAGTGGCTCGGGACACGTTCCAGAGATCCCTGAATGCCTGGCGGCCCTCGTTTCTGTTGCCCTCGTGGAGCATTCGGGAATCCTGGAAAAGGGTCATTACCAGCACCCCTCGCTGCTCAAGACCAGCTACCTTCGCGCTTCGTGCTGGGCAAGCGCGAATGACTTCGCGCTCTCGCGCCGCCCCCCTGGGGGAGAAGAGGAAGATGATGAGGATGAGGATGAGGCATCGCGAACCGCGAGCTGCGACGTGCGAACAACTTCGCGCCCTGGTGGCGGCCCTTGGTTCCGGTATAGAGGCCTCCCGAACTGGGCCCGAGAAGATGAGGTCGGAGGATCGCGCCGCATCGCCTGTGCATCGGTAATGCATCGGCGGCGTCGGCGATGCATCGGCGACGTCGGAGGAGAAAACCGGGCTCCAACTCTAGTCGTTTAGTCGGGGAAACGCAACACTCGGGATCGGGGGACTTGGGTTGGCCTGCCGCGGCCATCCAGAACATGACGAGGCCCCATCTGAGAGTTGACGCGAACTCCCCGCTGGAGACATCCCACGAGCACTGAACCGTCAACATCCGTGGCGGGCTCGTCAAAGAGCGACGGCAGACCCGAGCTCCGGCGGCGTACTGAAGCCTGACGTTTCCCCCGCGCGACCAGCGATGCATCGTCGATGTGGCGCGATCCACCAGCCTCATCTACTCGGCCTCCATCTGGGACGGGCCTGCCACTGCAAGCAAGTGGCCCCGGGGCCCCAGCAAGCGTGCCGCCGTGGGGGGGGGGGGGGGGGGGGGGGGGGCACCGACCCTGTCTACAGTCAAAAGTGCATCAGGGACGGGTGGCAAGGACGCGGGACCCTACTCACGTACCTCCTCCCTCTCTCACCCATCTTCCTCCTCCTCCGCCCCTCGCCCTCCTCCTCCTCCTCCTCAAGCTCCAGCTCCAGCTTCAGCCGGTCCTCCTCCTCCCCTTCCCCCATCCCCCTCCCTTTTCTCCTCCTCCTCTCCCTCCTCCTCCTCCTCTTCCTCCTCCTCCTCCTCCTCCTCCTCCACCTTCTCTCCCTCCTCCCCCTCCTCCTCCTCCTCCTACACCTCCTCCTCCTCCTCCTGCTCCTCCTCCTCCTCCTCCTCCTCCTCCTCCTCCTCCTCCTCCTCGGCCGACGTTGAGATTTTTTGGGCGGCGGGCGACCAGTGGAAGCCGCAAAGGACGGGCGGGCCGCAGAGGCAAGGGCACCAGGGCACCCCAGATGGAGGCGCGCGTTCTTACCAGGCGCGTTAACTGCAATCGGACCCCATCCGGGAAACGAATCGTGATAAGTGGGATCGGCGATCGGAACGAATCGGATCGTCAGAAATCGGAGGCCAAGTCGGGAGCAGTCGAATCGGCGGAAATCGACAGACCAGTACGGCCTCAATCCCGACATCGGAACCCACATCGGAATCCGAGGTCGAATCTGAATCGGAGCCCATCGAAGCGGAACCGGGTCGAACCGGGGGAGTCCGAAATTTTTTGGCATGCCTGCAGTAACATCCAGAGGCCTCCAGGAGGCCGCCGTTGGGACCTTCGCCCCGCGCGGCGGCGCCCCGGAGCTGGGCGCTGCGTCATGGCGGCGGCGGCGGCGGCCGACAGGCAGAAAAGGCGCCGAGGTCGGCGCCGTGATGACGAGGGCGACCGCATGCCCATGGCGCTGCACGGGGCGGCCGCGCTCGGAGCCTCAGCCCACTCGGGCTGCGAGCGGCCCGCTGCAGAGCGAGAAGCGTGCGCGCACGGTGCTCCGCGCGCCCATCAGGCCAGAAGGCAGGCGCCGCCTCGTTCTCTGCCACCTCCGCGCACCGGCTGCGCCTGGGGCCCCCCCCGGGGCTCAGCGGGACCCACTGGAGCGCCGACTCCCTCCCCTTTGCTCCCAGAAGGCAGGCTCCGGTCCTCCCGCACAGGGCCCGCTCGCCCTCTGCCGCCTCCGCGCGCCAGCTGCCAGGGATGTCCTCCGAGCTTCGGGGCGCAGAGCCCTCGGCCTCCTCAGCGCGGCTTCCTCACGAAGAGGGGGTTGCCGATCACACCTCGCTCGGCTTCGCTCTCATAGCTTCGCCGAGGGTCATTCCTCGCTGGGCCTCGCTCATCTGTTTCTTTGTCTCCTCGCTGTGGCTCTTTCCTCGCAAGGCCTCGCTCATCTTTTTCTTTGACTCCTCGCTGTGGTTCTTTCCAAAGAAAGGATGTCGGCCCCCACGCTTAGCCGCACTCATCTTCTGCTTCGTCTCCTCGCTGTGGTTCTTTCCAAAGAACGGATTTCGGTCCCCACACTTAGCCTCACTCATCTTCTGCTTCGTCTCCTCGCTGTGGTTCTTTCCGAAGAAAGGATGTCGGTCCCCACGAGTAGCCATGCTGATCTTCTGCTTCGTCTCCTCGCTGTGGTTCCTTCCAAAGAAAGGATGTCGGTCCCCGCGCTTAGCCGCACTCATCTTCTGCTTCGTCTCCTCGCTGCGGGTCTTTCCTCGCAAGGCCGCGCTGATCTTTCTCTTTGTCTCCTCTCTGTGGTTCTTTCCAAAGAAAGGATGTCGGCCCCCACGCTTAGCCGCACTCATCTTCTGCTTCGTCTCCTCGCTGAAGGTCTTTTCTCTCTGTGCTTCGCTCATCCTTTTCTTTGTCTCCTCTCTGTGGTTCTTTCCAAATTCGCCGGCCCAACGGGCCAGAGGCGTGCTAAGATCTCCGGTAACTGCTAAATAATACTTCTACTTCGCGCGCGCGGGGCCGCCGCTGGGGGTCCCCGGACGAAAAGTACCCCGGCAGGGTCCCGGCAGACTCGGGTCAGAGATGCCGGACAGGGCAATTTTTCGACACCCCTCACGAATATCGCGGCCTCCGAGGGGGGAGCCGCAATCGACTACCCCCCCTCCCGCCCCAAAGGCCCCCAAGAGCCCCCCGGGCCCCCACGACGCCGCCAAGAAGCCCCAAGAGACTCCCAAGAGGTCCCCAGGAGGCCCCCAAGAGGTCCTAAAGAGGGCTCTAGGGCTGGCGGAATGAGCGAAGCGATTAAATAAAGGATGTCGGTCCCCACGCTTAGCCGCACTCATCTTCTGCTTCGTCTCCTCGCTGTGGTTCTTTCCAAAGAACGGATTTCGGTCCCCACACTTAGCCTCACTCATCTTCTGCTTCGTCTCCTCGCTGTGGTTCTTTCCGAAGAAAGGATGTCGGTCCCCACGAGTAGCCATGCTGATCTTCTGCTTCGTCTCCTCGCTGTGGTTCCTTCCAAAGAAAGGATGTCGGTCCCCGCGCTTAGCCGCACTCATCTTCTGCTTCGTCTCCTCGCTGCGGGTCTTTCCTCGCAAGGCCGCGCTGATCTTTCTCTTTGTCTCCTCTCTGTGGTTCTTTCCAAAGAGATGATGTCGTTCTCCACTCTTGGCCGCACTCATCTTTCGCTTTGTGCTTTCACTGTGCTGCACTCCCTGGCGATTAAACCCAATTGATGTCTGCCGTGCCCGGTTGGCAAACTCACTGTTTGCGGCTACGTTATAAAATTCGTGGAAGAAACACTCCGCCTGCACAGCATCAGCGCGCGTGCTATGTTTCGTCAATATAAGCTTTTGCTTTCGATCTTGCTTGAATTGCACATCACTTGAAGACCCCATGTAACTTGTGTCCGCTTCTGGCGAAGAGACAGAATTCGGACATGTTCTGGAACCAATGTACCAAAGTCCTGTCTGCGACCCGCGCAACACGTAGGTATAATGGCGCGCCAGAGGACCTGCGTCGGCCGGTGTACGACACGCTGCAAGAGCCTCGCTGAATGTAGGTCCGCTCGGTGGCCCCCTCCAAGAACTCACGAACGAACAAAGACATGCAGAGAGCTGCCCTCCACCACATGGGGCAACCTTTCGATGGTAGGGCCACTGATGGGCACAGCTCAGTACGGTCCTCCTGATAGTGAACACATGGTGCTGGATCATGACTGGTCCTCTGCACCAGAAGACGTTTGCCGAATCAACATCTGGACCACCGGATCTGCGGCGCCCGTCTTCGAACAACGGCTAAACAAAACGATATGTCGAGACGATGGCGTGCACACGCAACCTTGAGCATGACAATCAAGATTGGCTGACTGTGGGTCGAGACGATCACACAAACTCCATCACATGAGCCGATCTGGCTTGAGCCAACATGGCTACGGAAACCGGAGGAGTCCGAATGAGCCCTGCCTTGGCAGATGCGAGGCCGAGCCCGAGCCGGGGCTGCCACCAGGCGGCCCTGGCAGGCGTGCCGCAGCTGGGGGAGCCCCGCGGAGCGCGGCTGGGGGCGCCGCGCCGCGCTCCGCGAGGCAAGCTCTGCGGGGCGCGCCGCGGAGCGCTCCTGTGGAACATTGCCAGGCAACTTCCGCAGTCCTCGTCCTGGTCGTCGCCGCCGTCGTCGCCGCCGCCGCCGTCGCCGTCGTCGTCCTCGCTCCTGTCCTGGTCCTCCTCTTCGTCGTGGTCGTCCTCCTCGTCGTCGCCGCCGCCGCCGTGATCGTCGTCGTGCCCCTCTCCGTGGGGAGAACCGTTTTTTAGCTGTCGCGAGCGGTGCGCGTAATCCGTGTCCGCGCCCTCGCGGTCTGGATGCCGGGGCGCGATCCCACAGATGCGCGGCAGCACGCGCACGCTCCGCACGGAGCGCCCGCAACAGAAGCGCCCCGTGCCCGCGCGGCCGTGGCCCGGGGGGTCCGGCCCGCGAGACCGCGGACGCGGACTTTTGTTCGCCAACCGCCCGCTTTGCGGGGAATCCAAGGGGCCCTGGGACACACAAATAAATACACACAAATGAAAATGTTCCCCATAATTTCCCATATTTCTGGGGAATCGAAGACTAATTGTGTCTCTGTTTTTTCCCTCCTGAATACTGATGCTCGAGGAAAGCCGCCCTGCTTGCCGGCGCCGTGCTGCTCTCAGCGCGTCGAGGGGGACGCAGCTCCAGATCATGCCTGGCCCCCGCGCTGCGGGAGAAACACTCGGCCGGCGCATCTCTCTCTCGGGGGCGCGCAGACATGGATGAGCGATCGCAGCCGCTAACTCCATGGATCGGGGGAGGCGCCCTCCCTAAAATGCGGCCGGTGCCGCCTCCATCGGCGGCGGACATCCGTGATTTCACGTGGAAGCGGGGCACGTCGCTGACGCACGCCCCCTTGCTCCAGGTTTGCGATCGCCCGACTCTCGTAAGCCTTGACAGGCGACGGGAACAAGGAGGACGGCCGGGTCCCGGGCGATCCCCAGGGGGGAGGCTATTCTTCGCCACCCCTCACGAGGATCGTGGCCTCCGAGGGGGTGGCTGCAATCGACTACCCCCCTCCCGCCCCAAGGGGCCCCCAAGAGCCCCCAAAGAGGCCCCAGGGGAGCCCAAGACGCCGCCACGGAGCCCCAAGACGCTCCCAAGAAGCCCCCAAGAGGCCCCCAGGACGGCTCCAAGAGGCCCCAAATAGCGCTCCAGGGCCAGCGGGATGAGCGAAGCGATCAAATAAACCTCCAACTATTTTTTGACATTCCCCCTGTAGAGAGACGTGCCCGACTCAAGACTACTGATGTCTTTTCTCCCATGCGGGCCTGCCGCCGCCCCTCCAGCGCAGTGTCCACGCGCCCACGCGCACATGTCGAGAGCTGGCATTCTCAGATGCACGTCTTCGATGGGACGACTCCGCGATCGGGCCGGCACGAGGCAGTGGCTCACCTTCGTTGGTCAGGCGTTGGAGCCGAGGCAGGCAGCCCGAGGGGCATCCGGTCGCCATCCCCATCGACTGGTGGAAGAAAGGATGGGTGCTCCCAGGAGCTTTTGCGTGATGACTACTATGAAGAATCACCTGCACCTTTCCGATCGGAGCGCCAAACGGTCCGCCAAGCTTTGCGCTCCCGCTGCAGTGCAGGCCGCATTTCAGCAATTGCTCGTCTGCGCCTGTGCGTTGTCCAACGCGGCGCTCTCGCCCACGCGCGGGCGCCACGATCTCAGACACGGTAGCTTTTTCGTCGTTGACGCTCCTCTCCACTCCACTCCTCCACCTTCCCTCGTCCTCATGCTCTTCCTACTCACTCTCCTGCTTTTGCTGCTGGTGGTCGGGTGGTCGTCTTCCTCATCCTTCCTCATTCGTCTCTTTCTCCTGCTCATCCTCCTGTTCATCCACCCCGTCACTCTCCTCCAACGTACAAAGCCCATCCCCCTGATGTATGCGCATCACACGGCGGGGTCATTCGGAGGATCGGGTCAACGACTACTAGGACACCTCAGACAACAGACGCAACTTCAAGGGCAATGGAAGGGCATGGGTTAGAAGGGTGGGATGATCTGAGCCTGGCTTGTCATGCACATTTGTTCCCCAAGTCCCACTCCCCTCCCCTCGCCCCTCTAATCTTTTTTCGTGCCGCTCCTCTCCACCTCTCCTCTCTCTTCGCTGCTCCCTGATTCTCCTCCTGTGTTTTCCTGGCCCGAAGCCTATCCATCGTCCCTCCTACGTCTACCCGTTCTCCTCCTCGTCCTCATCCTGTCCTGTACCCGCCTGACCAGACCTTGTTACTCTCCACCTACTGCTGGTCCACTTCCTCCTCCTCCTCCTCCTCCTCCTCCTCCTCCTCGTCATCCTTCTCCTCCGCCTCCCCCTCTTCCTCCTCGCCGTCCTCCCTTGCCTCGCCCTCCGCAGCCACTCCTCCTCTTTCTTCGCGCCCGCGCCCTCCTGCTCCCTCCCCCTATCCTGCCTCCTGCCTCCCGCCCCCCATGCTCCTGCCACCTGCTGCCTCCTCCTACTCGCGCGCGACCCTCGGAGCGCCTCGCACCTCTCGGCCTTGAAGTCGGGCACATTCAGCGGGACGACCTGCGGCGGTGCATCGGCGCTCGCCCGCGGCAGCCCCTGGGCGCCCCCCTCCTTTTCCGGCCGCCGCCGAGGTCGGCGCCCCATCCTCTGATAGCGGACTGACGCGGCAAGGGCGTGTCCATATCCACCGCCTGGGGACCCAATGGCCTTTGACCCCTGGGGGCGGTGGACGTTCTAGTCTAGGTTGCACCACATCTATTGAACGATGTGGATTCCACCAGCCAAGATTGGACCGCACAACCTGCACCCCGTAGGTCGCAAACCAGATGTCGCCGAGCACTTTGTTCTGAACGCGCCCAAGCAAACAACGCCAGCACCGCGGCAAACCCACGGCAAACCCTGATCCGAGGAGGAAGTGTCCGTGGTGACCGAGGCGATCTACCTTCAGATGTGCAACTGCGCGTCGGCACACACTTCGCGGCGACAGATGTTGCGCCACATAGATTCCACTACACTATGCGCACCACACGTTCTACCATACACATCATGCAATACTGCGTGTTTGTTGGAGCCCGCGATGGCAAACAATGGGGACAACAACTTGTTCAACGATGCTTGCCCCCTAGCCTCTTCGCGTCGGCTCGGCCGCTGAAGGCTCAGCATGGCTCGAGCATCGCCCAGTGCAGCCCAAGGAGGGCCCCAAAGGGTACCAAGACCGCCCCAATAGCGTCCAAGATCGCCCCAATAGTATTCCAGAAAGGATCCCTAAAACGATCTGCTGGGTGTTTTGTTTTATATAGAGCTCTGTCAATTGGCGCCGCCCGCTGATTTGATGACGACCGCCGCCACCGCTGCCTGGGCTGCCGCTAGGCGCATCCAGCCAGCACTCCCGAGGGGGGCCGTCCCGCAACATGTTGTCGCAGCCCGCGTGCACTGGCGCAACCTCTGCAGAAGTGTATGACAACGTCGTGAATTTTCGGATGTGTTCCCGCTCCTGCGGCCGGGAATCCCCTTCCTGCCGTTCGCCCCGACGCACTGGCTCACCTTGCTCATCGCGCTTTCTGCGCCTGCAGCCCTCCTGGTTTCGGTCCCTGGGCGTGGTCGTGCTGCCGTCCCGCGCGCTCAGCGTGGGCGTGGTCACTTCAGCCCAAAATGGCCGCACCAGCGCGCTCATCCTAAAAATCTTTCCGCGGTGAATGCCTCCCCTGCCCGCCGCCCCTCGCATTTTCGTTCCCGCGCAACCAGACAATTCGAGCGCCGCGCGACCCGAACAACTTGAGCGCGCGCGCGCGGATTGCCTCTGCCGCGCGGCGACGGACAAGTTTTGACGACGACCGATCCCCCTCGCTGCTCCACTGCTTGCTCGCACATTCCCCTGATCAAGGCATGTCGCCTTGGCAGATGAAGATTCGTGAAGCGTCAACAGTAATCATAGAGAAAGACGCTTGGAGCCGATAGCCACAAAACATCACAATTCCAACCATTCTTCTGTCAAGAGCCTTGGAACCTTGGAAGGTCTGCTCCTCGATATGTCCACGGATAACGGCCCACATGTTCAAGCTGCCCCATTCCCAGAATGCGGCGCACCGCCAGTGGGCCCACACGGCTTTCAGCAGAGGCTGAAGTACCCAAGGGCTTGCGATAATTCACCTCACGTGAAAGGCGCTGGCTGAGCCCAGAATAACTCCCTCCTCCTCATCAACATCATCCTTCCTCGTCTCCTTTCTATTCCCCCTCCTCCTCCTCCTCTTCCTCCTCCTGGCACGGGTTGATAGACGGAAGTATCTCGCAGTGACGCGGTGAAACGACCGTCCCCCTACGCACCACGCCCTCTCGGCTGGAGGCAAGGCGCTGGGCGACGATGTAGGTGTCTATCCACTGTTCGTCGGTGCGCGCGCCTTCGGGCCCACTTCCTCCCATAAGGTGGAGGCTGAGGGATGTCAGTTGCCTGCCATTGCGGCCCGCCTGCGTGCGGTGTGCACCGTGCACTTCCTGGATCCATGACTCCATGACTCCATGACTACTGTTCCTCCTCCTCCTCCTCCCCCTCCTCCTCCTCCTCCTCCTCCTCCTCCTCCTCCTCCTCCTCTTTCTCCTCCTCCTCCTGCTCCCCCATGTCCCTCCCGTCCTGCCATCTCTCCATACCCTCCCCTCCACCGCTCCTCCTCCCCATCGTCTCATTTTCCTCCAGTCCTTCCCCCTCTCTGCCTCCTTCTCCCCGCTCCCTCCCGCCTCCCGCCTCCCGCCTCCCTGCACCTCAACCATCTGGCTCGTTCCCTCGCCCCCCTCGACCCGGCTTCTGCCCTCCGGCCCCTACACTCTCCCCTCCCAGCGTGTTCTTCTCTCACCCTGCGCCACGAGAACACGCACACTGACACCCGCCGACGAATTTGGATTGTACCTTCAGGTAGGGTGGCGGCGTATGAAGTCGCTGGCATATATATATATATATATATATATACATATATATATAGAGGTATAGATCTAGATATAGATATAGATACATGTGTGTGGCGGGAAATTCCCCGCAGGACGAGATGGAACAGCAACAGCAGCGGCAGCGGCGGCTCAAGTGAAGGCGGGCGGAGCAAGGCACGCAAGCGGCAGCAGCAGCAGCAGCAGCAGCATGCATGCAGCAGCGTGGGCGTAGGCGTACCGTTCCGCTGAGGACGAGGGCGACAGACCATGTTCTGAAAGAGAAACGTCTAGTGTGTGTGTGTGTCCCCCCTCAACATGAAGGGGCCCCAGGACACACAAATAAATACACACAAATAAAACAATCCCCATATTTTCTCATCTTTTTGAGGTTTTCGTCTTCCCCCCCACCTACCATGTTTTCCCACACCTTCGGTTGAATTCGACGACTAGTTGTGTCTGTGTGTGTTGTTTTTGTCCCTCCTGACTTCGGACCCTCCCGCGCCAGCAGCGGCACCGCCGAGCGCGCGCCAAAGGGCTCGAACCCCGCACCCGCGGCGGGAGCGAGCGGGGCGGGCGGGTGCCGGAGCGGGGTGGGCGGGGGCCACGCTGCTGCACGCCGCGCCGCCTGGGTCCGGTCGGCGCCCCTCGCACGGGGACTCCACGAACGGGCGCTTCGGCCAGCTGGACTACACGCAAGAATTGGCCCTAGGTTGAGGTCGGGCGTGTCCCCAAAGAGGGGGATTCTGGGCGACAAATTAGAAATACCCTCAAAATACAGCAAAATACGCAACAAAAGTCAAAAAATAGTCCCCAGACTCTGTTTTGACTATTTTTGAATATTCCCCCTGTAGAGGGACAGGCCCGACTTAACACAAACGGAAACTTTGGCCAGCTGGACTACACACAAGAAATGACACTAGGCAAGAGCGACCTTTGGTGCGCTTGTTTTTTGGGGGCCGCGGGGGGCACCAACCACGAGCGCGCAAGACACTGCTATCGCATCACATTCGGCGACCCGAGGACACCATTGGGCCCGCACCAAAGGTCACTCCGGCGAAAGGTCACTCGTACGTCTAGTCGACCGACGGCCCAGCGAACCCAACCCTCCAGGGAGCTCTGCGGGCAATACATATATATATATATATATATCCAGTGCGTCTTGGACTTTCTTGAAGGGGCGCCGCAAAGCCGAGGCGCACTGGATATGGATAAAAATTCAGCCTTGTGGAGGCATATTACAATCCATATCCAGTGCGCCTCATGTTTCTTGGGAAGAGTGTCCGAAACTCCAAGACGCACTGGATGTGGATAAAGACATTGCCCGCAAGCTCGGCGTACAGCCGGACCTATAGGGGGGGAGAAGAGCGCCGATGCTCCTCGATGGTCCTCGCCGAAGGAAAAATGCACACGTCCGAGCGATGCCAGGGCCACTTCAAGAGCACGAGGCCCTCCGCTGGCCAGCCTGGGGAGCGTGCGAGGCCCCCCCTGCCCCAGGATGCACCAGAACATCCGTGAAACACCAAGCACACCAGGGTGCCCCATACCCGAGCCGGCCTCGATCTTTGAAGGGGCCCACCAACACACACACACAAATAAACACACACAAAAAAATATCCCCAATAGTTTCCCATGTTTTCTGGGTTTTGGTCTTCCCCCCACTTCCCATATTTTACCATGTTTTCCTGGAGATCGACGATTATTGTGTCTGTGCGTTTCTTCCCCTCCTGAATCTTGTGCCTCGGTCCGACCGTACGTAAGCCTTAGCTGCCCTACCTGTGGCGCCAGAGAGTCTTCTGCACACCGACTTCCCTCGAACGGCTCGCTGGCTCGGTGGCCGACCAGCAACGTGGTGCATTGCCGGACCTCGGACAGGAGAGCACCCTTCAAGAACATGAGAGCCTCCGCCAGCCAAAACGAGGAACATTCGAGGATAGCTTCTCCCAGGATGTACGAAAGCACCCGCCAAGCACGAACATTGTAGCACCCTCCCCGAACCGACCTCGATCGTATACTTCGGTCTGACCTTAAACATCGAGCCCATCCAGGGGAGCTGAAAAAGGGAAGTAACAATGTTTTGTTTCTGGGGTAACGGTCGTTACCTGGGGAAAAGGGGGGGAAGGGGAGGGCGTTCGGGCGGGAGGGTAACAGTAACGGGAACGGCGGCCGCGGCGTGCACTCGCCAGGGTGCGTCCGCGCCACCAGCGCATCCATCGCCTGTGTGCACCACAGCATGTAGGGGGGGGGGTCCAGGCCCCCATCTAGCATAGCGTTACCCTTAGGTCGGGCATGTCACCCTGCAGGCGGATTTTTCGGCGAAAAATTGAGGATACTCAAAAAATGCCCCAAAACATCGTCCCCGGAACACTCCCCCCGCAGAGGGACAGGCCCGACTTGACGTCACTGGGGGGGGCTGGGTGGGCGGGGGGGCTGGCCTGGGTCGCGAGCGCCACCCCGAGATGGAAACAGACACGCGCACGAGCGGCGGGGGGGGCCTCCTTCGCCAGGGCGCGGTGCCGCGCTGCCGCCAGGCACGCCAGGAGGGCCCGGGACACCCCTCCGGCCCGCATCGTGGCGTCGGGGCGCGTGGCGCGCGGCGGCCGCGGCGGCTCGAGAGGAGCGGCGGGCGCCGCGCGCGGGTGGGAGCCGCAGTCAGGGGAGGGGGGGGGGGAGGAGGAGGAGGGAGGAGGAGAGGAGGAGGAGGAGGGAGGAGGAGGAGGAGGAGGAGGAGGAGGAGGAGGAGGAGGAGGAGGAGAAGGAGGAGGAGGAGGAGAAGGAGGAGGAGGAGGAGGAGGAGGAGAAGGAGGAGGAGGAGGAGGAGGAGGAAGAGGAGGAGGAGGGGGGATAGTCGTGGAGGGTGTTGGAGCGAAGAGAGTGACTTCATGGTGGTGTGGCCCGACGATGCACGAATGCGGCAGCGGGCCTCGCGAAAGAGACAAGTCAAGACTCGCGGGAAAGCGGCGTTGCGCCCAAAGGGGGCGACGGAGAGGAGTGAGGGAGGGAGGGGGCAGGACGAGGGGGATGCAGAGAGGGGAGGTGCTGGTGGAGTGGTGCGTTGACGGTGGACTTCATGTGAACCTTGTATCCGCCACAATGCCTCGAGGCACGAAGTGGAGTGTCCTCAGGTCACTCCGAGTCCGAGTCCTCTGCATCCAATATGGTAATACTCTGTACGGGTGGAGGGGAACTCGGACTGACATGTCGCGCCCTGCGCCTAAGGATGGCACTCGAGATCACCAACAAACCCCAAAGAGGCCCCCAAGTAGCACCAGGAGGCCAGCATAATCCTGGCGACAGGGATAAGCGTTGATTCATAGATTCCTGACGTGCTTACTGATGGCTGGCGCCATGTCCAACTGTATTATTACGCTGATGCGTCGACAATAGGAATCTTACGTCTGCAGCCGCGCCGAGGCGGTATCACACCTTGGGCTTCCTGGCGCTTCTACGCTGGAATGCCTGAGGCCCCTATGGTGGCGAAACGGAACAAAAAAGCTGCACGTGCATCGCAACTCATATTTGTATATAGTGATGAACGGGCAACCGATGCGCATCTGCTGCCTGTCTATCTCCAGCCCCCACTGTTCAGAGACTTTCTCTTAGTCCTTGCCACCTCTACCTTCGGGCCTTTCAGTTCGTCGCAGCCGCGTGGCCGAACATTCACTTCGCGTAGCCACGTGCAGGAGGGATTGCACACCCGCGGGTCAGCCGCTCATCAGGCTAAACCATGGCGTCGGAAAAGAGCGCCTCCTCAATCATCACCGCGAACTTGCAATTCGGTCCCGTTCGCTACTGAGATGAATCGCTGTCGTCTTGTCCCCCTTCCTCCGTATCGTAGATGAGGGTGGTGATAACGCGAGGCAGGTGAATGATCAAATAGTTACGTATTTGGTCATGAAAATTCGGATGATGTGGAGAAATCCCGCATGAGCATGATCAGGCGAGAGAGAGGGACGGGGGGCGGGCGAGCGGGAGGAGACAAGAGGAGGGGCAGGACAAGATGAGGAGGACAAGGAAAGGGGACGCGTGATGATATAGCAGCTTGAAGAAACCCCGACGGGGTGTCACAAGGAGTAGGATGATTACTGGCAGAGACGCAATAGTGAAAGGGTAGATCTTGATGAGGGCGAGCATCCACATATAGAGATGGGGGGGAAAGACCAGCAAAACAATCAGAGAGATAGGGGATACTATGAAACGCGAATATGCGCGCAAGGCTGCTCGGTGCGTTCGCGCAATGCTTCAATACGCACGCGATCGATAAGCGTGTGGTGTCGCGCAGAGTGCGCAAACCTGTCACATTCGTGAGTGCACCAGTCGGACGACAACTGAAGGAAAAAACAACTGCATGAAACTGTCGAAGGTCTGCGATGGACCCCGCTCCCTGGCAAGCGGAGCGCGCCAGCGCCGATCCGGGAAAGCCGCGCGGAGCGCCGACAGTGTATTGCTATGCAGTTTGTTCTCCGTTGTCCTTTCTTATTATCATGAGATGTTTGCCTTTCCCTGTTCCTCTGACGGAGAGAGACAGGGGGGGCGGGGCAAGCGGTCGGGACGCGCGACCTTTTGGCTTGCACGGGCTCCTCTCTTCGTCCCCCGCTGGCCCCGCTCCGGACGCCGGGCTCCCCAGCCTGCTGGGGCTATTCGGCCCCGCGCTGGCCGCCGCGATGGCGGCGCCCGGGTCCTCCTGGCGGCCACGGCGGGGCGCGGGGCGCGGGGTGCATGCGCGGACGTAAGCGGGCCGTCGTCGCCTTCGTCGCCGTTCCCAGAGATCCCCAAAAAACTACAAGACGTCGGCTCTACGTTGTCGGCGTCCCGAGGCCCTCGCCGGGCCACGGGACAGTGAAACAGCGACTCAGGCCGAGACGCCAGTCCCAGGGCGCGGGCCGAGAGGTTCGGGGAAATCAGGACATCGGAAGAGAAAGGGACAGTGAGGAGGACCAACGCCGATGACCTGTCGTGCAGCTGAGGAACAGGAGCACGGGCCACCATTTGGCACGAGGCCCCAAAATAAGGGTGTTTGCCAGCACGGATCGCAGCGACATTATACCGCTGTCGAGACCTGGCTGGCGTGTGCTCGACTGGACCCTTGCAGTCCAAGTCGAGATTGTATTTAGGAGCCTTTGCGGACGCTTAATAGGAGCCACCCAGGGTGCACACCATGGCACCTGCCTGGGTCACCAAAACCTGGTGCCAGCGGAGCTCCACATGAGCCTCGGGAAGCGGGCCCGTCGATTCGCCATGAGCGGAAGCCCCACTCGACTGTTTCCCTCCCTCCCAATCTCCCTCCCTCCCTCCCTCCCTCCCTCCCCCTCCCCCTCCCCCTCCCCCTCCCTCCCCTCCCCTCCCCGTCCCCCGTCCCCCGTCCCCCTCCCCCTCCCCCTCCTCTCCTCCTCCTCCTCCTCCTCCTCCTCCTCCTCCTCCTCCTCCTCTCTCCTCCTCCTCTCTCCTCCTCCTCCTCCTCCTCTCCTCCTCCTCCTCCTCCTCCTCCTCCTCCTCCTCCTCCTCCTCCCCATGGCCATGCTGAATTCGGCCCAAGCCGACGTCAGCCTGGCCCAGCTCGGCTGGCCGAGTTCTTGCCTGAGGGCGAGGCTTTGTCAGGGGGGCATGGGGGGACTGGATGGCCAAATGGAAGGACGGTTCCACATGTGGGGGGGGAATGCTTTCAGCCGCCAGCCAACTACGGTTCGGAGACGAAGCGAGACGAAACCTCTGGCCGATCTGGCCACATCGGCTGCGGGGAGACCCGGGCTCGGGCTTGAGCTCTCGCGGGTTGCCAAATGTGCCCCTGGTCCAAGACGCCCCCAGGTCGGAGCCCCCGGGGCCTCTGGGACTCGTGAGGGTCCTCTGGAGGCCGTGGGGGCCTCCCCAGACCCCCGACGTCATGATTTTTTCGCACGTAGGCCCATTAAATCTCGACCCCTTCCCCTGGACCGGTTCTTCATCCCTCGTTTTGCTGACGGCCCCGAGGCCGGGTACAAGGGCCCACAGAGGCATCAAGTAAGGGAAAGACCTCCCGACGCAATTTTCTGTGATGCGACGAGGGGATCTGCATGGGTCCCTGGCAACCCTCGGGGGCACCGTGGGCAGGAGAGCCCAGAATCGAATCGATACGTCGGATCGGCGATCGCCATGAATCGGATCGGCGGGAATCGGCAAGCACGTCGGGAAAAGTCGAAGCGGCAGAAACCGGCAATCTAGCAGGCCTCCATTGAGAAGCCGGATCCCAAATCGGCATCCGAAGTCGAACCGCCTCAGAATCAGAAGCCGTCGAAGTCGAAGCCGAATTGAAGGCATCGAAACGAACCCTGCCTCGGCCAGGGGCACTTCCAGCAACGTCCGCAGCTCTGGCCATCGCTTAGACGTCCGTTCCCTGTACTCTGGTCGGTTCCGTGCGTGGCTCTTTCGCAGGATGATCCGGGATGCTTCTTAATAATCCCCACCGAGAAGAAGTGCACACGTCCGAGCGATACCAAGAGCTCGGGCTCGAGCCCGAGGAGCTCGGGGATCTCATGGCGTCTCCGAGGGCCCGCGGCGGCGGGTCCAGGGGGTGCCTCGGCGGCCACGGCCACCGTGGAGTGCCCAGGGGGCGCTCTCCCAGCGCGAGGGGGGAAGAGGCGAATGGGGGGAGAAGAGGGAGGAAGAGGGGAGGAGAGGGACGGCTCAAGGAGGAGAAGACGGAGGAGGCGGGGAGGGGAAACAGGAAGCATCAACATCGAGCAGATGGGTGTGTATAATGTATATATACACTAGAACCACGCGCGCGTTTCGCGCGCGCTCAGGTTCCAGCGAGCCCCATTGTAGTCTAAAGTGTTCGGCATCGGGTGACATTGATTGTCACAAGAATCATGCACCTCAGGGGGCTCCACCCGCGGCCCATCAGACAGGCTTGGGCCCCCAAGCCCATGCCGGCACACCCTTCACAGGGATCGCGTCCCACAGGGAGACCAACGTGATTCCATCCCTAGAGACGAGGTTCGCATAGTGGCACGTCCATCAGGAGGACCGTACCCCGCAACTAAATGCATCTGCGGCACCAGAGGGGAATTTCATAACATCGGCCCGCTCAGTTCGGCGTACCTCTCATACGGATCGTGGCCCGCAAGGACATCCACGGACGGCTCCAAAGACAAAGTTCGCATCCCGCCGTCCCGCCTACTTCGGCACACCTCGCACACGGATCGTGATCGTGGCCCACAGGGATCTCCACCCACGGCCCCCGAAGCCAGGTTCGCACTGCGCCCCACCCCAGCCATGGCGGTACACCCCGTAACGTGGATCATGCCCACAAGGAGCACCACCGAATTAAAGGCCCCGAAGGTTCGAACAGCGCCCCCCCCCGCCCATGTCGGCACACCTGTATCATGCTCCAGAACGGGCATCTTTGCATGGCGCCCCCGCGCCCATTTCGAAACATGTTTGGCACGGGGCGTGCCCGGAGGAGGTCCACATGCGGCCTCAGCGGGCGTGTTCGCGCGACACTTCACGCGGATCGTGCCCCACAAAGAGTTCAGCGCACCCGTGCACGCGTGCCCTGCGGCAGCCATCTTTCCGCATTGCCCCGGCCTCTTTGGCTGTCTCACAGCGTTCCTGGCCCGTCGGACGCTGCAGGAAGTCGTTTTTGAGGCCTGTCTTCGCCGTCTTCGAGCCCGCTTGGAGCGCTTCGTGGCTGTCTTGGAGGCAATCTCAGGCGTGTTGAGTCCTCTTGAGCCGTCTTGGGGCCCTCCTGGGGCCATTTTTGGTGCTTCTTGGGCCGTCACGGGGCTATCGTGGAGGCCTCTTGGGTGCTCTGGGAGCGATCTTGGGGGCCTCGTGCGCCATCTGGACCGTCAGCAGGCCGAACAAAAAAACAAATGCAAAAATATGCAAAAACAAACGGGAAATCGATTCATTTGGCTTTTTCGGGATTTCCCAACGGATGTCTTGGAGGCGTCTTGGCCGCCTCGGAGGCTATTTGGACTTATCTTGACCCCATATTGGACCGTGTAGGGTACCTCTTGGAGCCATCGAGGGCTCTCTTGAGGCCATCTTAGTGTTCTTGCAGGCATTTCTGCAGCCATCATGGGTCATCTTGGCCGTCTTGGAGGCCATCGAGGCAGTTTGGGACCGGGAACGGGGGGTCCTGGAGCCCCGGTCCCGCCGTAGAGAAATGAGGCCGGGCCCCCCCGGGGACCTGAAACTCCGGTGTCCTATATATATATATATATGTATATTTGTGTGTATATACATGTATATATATACATATATATATATGTATATATGAGTATATATAAAAATACATATACATACATACATACATACATACATACATACATCCATCCATCCATCCATCCATCCATCCATCCACCCATCCATCCATCCATCCATCCATCCATCCATCCATCCATACATACATACATACATACATACATACATAAATACGTGCATACGTGCATACGTGCATACGTGCATTCGTACATTCGTACATACGTACATACGTACATACGTACATACGTACATACGTACATACGTACATACGTACATACGTACATACATACATACATACATACATACATACGTACATACATGCATGCATGCATGCATGCATACATACATACATGCATGCAATCATGCATGCATACATACATACAAACATACATACATACAGACAGACAGACAGACTGGCAGGCATACATACATACATACATACGTACGCACATACATACATATATATACACATACATACATACATACATACATACATACATACATACATGTACACACATACATACATACATACATACATACATACATACATACATACATGCATGCATGCATGCATGCATACATACATACTGGTAGAGACGCACCGCTTGGGGCATACTCGCCTGGTAAGTAATCCAAGGGTGCGCACACAAAGCGTAGCGAAACTCCTCGCTGCCCCTGGAGCGAAAAGAGTGAACAACAGGACATGACATTTATATTTTCCGACGGAGACGCATCAACCTGGCGCGCATTTATCTGGTCGATTGCCCACGGGTGTGCACGCAAGGCGAAATGAAATAAACGATCGCCTCCGCGGTGAAGAGAAAGAAGCTGCACTGGCGGGGTCTCGCGCCAGAGACACAACAACCTCGCGCGCACTTATCTGGTCGATTGCCCAAGGATGTGCGCGCAAGGTGGAGCGACCCGCTCTTAAAAGTAAAGCAAAGCATCAAATTCACTGGGCTGACCGCAGGCGGACGTCACCTGCAAGCCAGCATTGCAGCCTGACGCGCCTTGGCGCGAACGGCACACATACTGAGGCGCCGACCAATTCCCTTTCTGAACATTCGAACGCCAACAATGAAACTCCGCCACCCTGTCGCAGGCACGTTCGGGCCATATGAGAGCGCTCGTTGGCTTTCGGGAAATGTTTCTGCTGTTCTCTGGGAGCGACGCCCCCCTGCCGCGCGCATCCACACAAAATCGCGCCCTCTGCACTTTGCTCCACGGCTCCACGGCGCCCTGAGCCAGAGACCGCCTCAAAACGGCCGCAAGACTCCCCAAGCCCGTCCAAAGACGGCCCAGCGGACTCTGTTTGCCCTCTCTTGAAATCCCGTTGGGATTTCTTGGGACCCTCTTGGGCGGACTCCGGAACCTCTGGGGCCGTTTTTCGGGTCCTGTTGGGCCGTCCTCGAGCCCTAGGAAGGGGGGGGGAGGAGGGGC